AAAAAAAAAAAAAAGATCTGTGTCTATTTCTTCCTTGGAATGCCTCTGCATATGTCCCGTAAGCAGCCACTGTCCTAGGACATGCCAGGAGGAATGCTTTGGGGATCGGCCAGAACTGAGGCTATGCCTTTGTTTCCCTGGGTCTCAGTTGCCTTGTCTGTAAGATGGTCTAATGATAGCACCCACTTTGTAGGTAAGATGTGTGCAGGAAGCATTTAGCATGGCTCTCAGCGAGAGAAGAGCACTGGGATGAGGCTCCAATTAGCCTGTCTGGGGTTAAGTCTTGGCTCTCCCATCTCCTTTCAGGGATACTGAGGAGGCATCCTTTTCTTCTTTTTTCTTTTTTTTTTAGAGACAAAGTCTCACTCTTTCACCCTGGGTAGAGTGCCATGGTGTCATCAGAGCTCACAGCAACCTCAAACTCCTCAAGGGAGTTGGGTTCAAGTGATCGTCAAGCTTCAGCCTCCTGAATAGCTGGGTCTGCAGGCGCCTGTCACTATGCCCAGCTAATTGTTTTATTTTTAGTAGAGACAGGGTCTCACTCTTGCTCAGGCTGGTCCCAAACTCCTGAGCTCAAGCAATCTGCTTGTCTTGGCCTCCCAGAGTGCTAGGATTATAGGCGTGAGCCACCATGCCTGGCCTGGGGAGGCTCCTTAAGCTTTCTGAGCCTCAGTGCCCCATCTGTCCAATGGTATGATCATTCGGACCCCATCAGCTGTTACTCTGAGGATTAAGAGTGTAACAAGGAGTATGCCTGGCACACAGTGAGCGCTCCATGAGTGGGTTACAGCTCCCATCCCAGCCTCCTGTCTGCCTGGTTTTCATACCTTCCAAACTCTACTTTGCAACCTTTAATTAACCTTTCTTAGCAGTAGGGCAAGACATATCTTTGTATGGTGAGAAACTGGTAGAAGGCTCTCAGCAAATGTGGCTCAGTATTATTACTTAGGGTGCGACGTCATGGGTTCTGTTTGTTGTTTCCGTTCCTGCGATGCTTCGTGCCTCTGTCTAACAGAAACTTGTCTTTCCACCCGCAGGTGGTCTTTGTAGGAATGATGTCCAGCTCTACGCTCTGGGGAAACATCTCAGACCAGTATGGCAGGAAAACAGTAAGACAACCTCTTCCGAGTGCATGTCCTCTAGGTTCTCTCTGTGATGGTGTTGACAAGTTGTAGACCTGGCAAGTGGGAGGCCCGATGGGGAGCTACGTTCAAGCGTAGAGAGAAGATGGGTTTTTTTGTTTGTTTGTTTGTGACCGAGTCTCACTTTGTTGCCCTGGGTAGAGTGCCATGGCATCATAGCTCATAGCAACCTCCAACTTTTGGGCTCAAGTGATCTCTTGCCTCTCAAGTCGCTGGGACTACAGATACCTGCCCCATTGCCTGGCTCTTTTTATAGATAAGGTCTCTCTCTTGTTCAGGCTGGTCTCCAACTCCTGAGCTCAAGCAATCCACCTACCTCAGTCTCCCAGAGTGCTAAGATTACAGTGGGAGCCACAGTACCCGACATTGTTCTGATGCTGCTATGGACTCTTTTCAAATCACACATTCCTAGTGGGGTCCAAGCATGTACATTTCAGAATCTGGATGATGGTAATGGTTCCTACTCAAATCCCCAGGGCATTAACCATTTCCTTACGGCCCCTGACTGGGGTAGTCAAAAGATGGTAGATAAAGACATTGGCTCTGTAGCCTTAAAGTGGGGCATTTCTCAAACCCAGCAGGACTGAGCTCTGGTGTCCATTATAGAAACTGTTCATGAAGGCACCCAAATTATCTGCCTGCCCTACCCAGTTTCTCTACGCCACTCCTCTACTGGGATCACTGCCTAAATAAACTACAGTGGAACCTCTGTAAGTTGACACCCAAGGAGCTATAACAAACTAATCGAAACACAGAGGTGATCAACAGAAGGAACTAGACCTACTGTACTGATACATACATACTGTACTGTACTGTACTGATACATACATGTGGTGCATGTCCAGTCTATGAAAATTAGGTCAACCTAAGAAGGTGGTCAAGGTAGGAAGGTGGTCAGCTATGGGGGGTTTCTACTGTGTTTGTACCAGGATCCTTATCTTAGGGTCTGCGTTTTGAGGGAGCCCAGATATGACACGAAATGGAGTTTTCAGACTGGAAGGAAGAAGGGAACTTATAGGTCTGAGCCTTGAAGGCAGGTAGACCTGGGTTTAGGTGCAACTTTGCCTCTCCTGGCTGTCGGATATTGAGCAAATAAATTGATCTCTCTGAACATCAGTTTCTTCAAATGTATCCGGAAGAAAATAACAGAACCTGTTAATTGAGGTGATGAGTCTGTATCTTTTTGTACAATGCCAGGCACATGTGAGGCACAGGACACACGTGAGCTGGAGCTTCAGTTATAGCATTTCTAACAAGTTCCCGGGCAATGCTAGTGCTGCTAGTCTGGGGACCACGCTATCAAAACTATTGGCTTAGTGGTTCTCAACCTTCTAATACCACGGCCCTTTAATACACAGGTTGAGAACCGCTGGCTTGGGCTAATAAAAATCTACCCTC